GATATTTTATAGTGGTTCAAGGAACAACTCGTTCCTCTAGTCCACTGTTCCACTAGCTTTGAAGTAGATCGGTTACAAAGCTTAGTTCCTAGCACTTAAGAAGTTCTCCACGCCTTCTTCAAGTCTAGCTGCCACCCAGGATGCAATTCCACGTCCTGATGGCTGGTCCTTTCACTCAGCTTCCCGGAAGTATCACCACTTCACTACTGCAGTTACTTGGACGCCCTTCTTTTCAGAAGATCCTTTGAAAAACAGAGTTTTTCCTCCAACTTGCTTCGTTACAAAGGATGTTTGATGAAGTTCTTGAAGTGTTGAAGAACAGGATGAACTTTGCTTGTTTGTTGGGGATGAGAGATTTGGAGTTTGAATCTTCCCAACGTAAGCTTGTCTTGTTGAAGGTTGTTAGAATTTGAATCTCAAGAGAGCTTGAATGATGATGAGCAAAAGTTGTAGCAAAGTTGTTTTTCTGTTCTTCGGTGTGTAGCTTATATACTGAGGTTGTCTGCCCGTTGGAGGAGGAGACAAATGCATTAAATGCGCCTACTGTTGACTTGACCGCCGTTTTGGAAGGTTTCTATTTTTATAATATATCTTCCCGGATTCTTTGGTCAATCATTTGCAATCAATCCTTCAGCGTATCAGGCTCATTTAATGTGCATTAAATGCTTTCCTTTCATGCACAGTCTTCTAGCCGTTGGATGTTTTTACCCGTTGAATTCATAGCTGTTGGATGTTGCTTGAAATCGTCTGAGTGTTCGTCGAGCTCTGATCAGGTTCTTCTGATATGTTGGATTCTGATGGCTATCTGATGAGTTGAGTTCTGATGGTCTTCTGATCTCTGACTGAACTCTGACTCTGATAGGTCCGCTGATGAGTGCTTCTGATCTGTAGTTCTCATCGGCTATCAGATGTCCAGGCTTATCAGCAACTCTCATGATGCAACTCTGATGGACTTCTGGTAAGAGAACTCTGATGGAGCAGTTCTCATAGAGGAAGTCTGGTCGAGCAGTTCTGATGCACTTCTGATCTGATCCAAAGTAGAGCAACTCTGATCGTCGACTACACTAATACTTACAATTAAAAATTCTAATACATAAAATCTAATTTGGGGGTACTCTAACTTTCTAATCCTATAGCATCATCAAAATCTAATTACATTTATTCCTTACAATGGGTTCTTCTATTGAGCGAGTTTGATATAGAAATCAAAGACAAAAAGGGAGCGGAGAACTTGGTGGCCGATCATTTAAGCCGCTTGGTCCCAAACAAAGAGATCGAAAGTCTCCATACCAATCTCATAAAAGGCGAATTTCCGGACGAGACTCTCTTCTCCATCAAAGTCATACAACCATGGTACGCAAACATTGTAAACTTCCTTGTTTCCGGCAAATTTCCTCCACAATTCTCAAAAGCTCAAAAAGAAAAATTAAAAATGGACTCAAGACTTTATGTGTGGGATGACCCATATTTGTGGAAACATTGTAAGGATCAAATAATCCGAAGATGTATCCCCGAATATGAGATAGCCCACATTATAGAGTTTTGCCATTCTTATGCTTGTGGAGGGCATTTCGGACCAAAACGGACGGCAATGAAGATACTTGAAAGTGGCTTTTGGTGGCCAAGACTTTTCCGGGATGCACATGGCTTTTGTCAATCTTGTGACAATTGGCAAAGAGCGGGTAACATTTCAAGGAGAAACGAGATGCCACAAAACCCCATGCTTTTCTGTGAGATTTTCGATGCATGGGGTATTGACTTCATGGGACCTTTCCCAAACTCTCAAGGTAACATCTACATCCTTCTTGCGGTAGATTACGTCTCCAAATGGGTGGAGGCAAAGGCAACAAAGACAGATGATGCCAAGGTGGTGGCTAGTTTCCTCAAAACACACATATTTTCAAGGTTCGGGGTCCCTCGAATTTTAATAAGCGATCGAGGCACACATTTTTGTAATAAAATTGTGGGATCCCTACTAAAGAAATATGGTGTGACTCACAAGATCTCCACTGCTTACCACCCTCAAACCAATGGCCAAGCGGAAACCTCAAATAGGGAGTTGAAGTCTATACTCCAGAAAACAGTGAACCCAAATCGGAAGGACTGGAGTATACGCATTGATGATGCGCTATGGGCATACCGAACTGCTTACATAACTCCAATTGGTATGTCCCCTTATAGACTTGTGTTTGGCAAAGCTTGTCATCTCCCCGTAGAACTTGAACACAAGTCATATTGGGCGGTGAAGGAATTCAACCTCAATCTTGACGAGGCCGGTTTGCATAGGAAACTCCAATTGCAAGAATTGGAAGAACTCCGTTTGGATTCTTATGACAACGCGGAGATCTACAAAAGAAAGACAAAGGCTTGGCATGATAAGATGATCATAAGGAAGAACTTTAAACTTGATGACAAAGTCCTCCTTTTTCAATCACGCCTTCGTCTATTTCCAGGAAAGCTGAGATCCCGTTGGACTGGACCATACAAAGTGGTCAAAATATATCCACACGGGGCGGTGGAAATTAAAGACCTGGAGACGGGAGAGGTGCTCAAGGTGAATGGACAAAGATTAAAACCCTTCTTCGAGGGTTTTCAACCCAAAAATGTGGAAGTCATGGACCTTTCTGAACCGGTCTATGAGTGAAGAACAACGAAGATATCGTCGAGCCACGACGTTAAATAAAGCGCTTCTTGGGAGGCAACCCATGCAAGGTATGTTCACTTTAATTAAATTTTGTAGAGTGTGTGAGTAAACAAAAAAAAAAAAAAATTCTGAACAACCCGACCGGGTATTTTAACTCACCCGGCCGGGTAATTAAACCAGAGGCGTCTGTTTTAAAAAGTTCGGATTACCCGACCGGGTAAATCACCCTACCCGACCGGGTAATCACCCAGAAATCATTCTGCCAGCCTCTGGAAAGGAAACCCGCCCGGGTAACCTACCGTACCCGACCGGGTAGACGGGCTTTACAGCCTATACCAGGTCGGGCAACCCCCTTCCCATTCATTTCTTCTTCTTCTCCAAACGCACCAAACCCCAAAAAACTCCATTTTTGTACACTCCAAGCTTCGATTCTCCACCATTCCTACATCAAATCCATCAATTAACATCATATCCTTCATCTCCTCACCTCCCTCTTTCATCCTACACCCATTAATCCATCCCAAATCCCCCAAATCAACCAACCCAAAAAAACCCTACCCCCATTTTCGAACCCCTCCATTCTTGGACTTCAAAAGTCCAAGGACAAGCCACAAATCATCACCAAACATCAAATACCTCTTCTCCTAATCATTCCCTACAAAACCATACCCATCAAGCCCACCAAATCCTATCCACCCCAAAAATCCGAAAATCCCTCATCAAAAACACCAAAAATCAAGCTTCATGGCACCTAAAAGGGCAAAACCCTCGTCCTCAAGAACTCCAAGGGCTATCCCACTGGTTGACGGCTTCGAGGAGGTGGACCTTGCAACCGACGCACAACGCACCCGTTTCCTCGAACAATCCAAAAGAGAGGTAAAACCCTCCCGCTTTATCTGCCAAGCGACGTTGACTTTGTTCTGGATTGATGAAATCATGAGAAATATATTCACAAGGTGTGGCATGCTAAAAATCTTTGATATGCATTATTGGTCATATTCTCGTTTAGTGTATGAATTTTACAGTTCCGTTGAGCATGTGAGTGATGAAAATGACCACACTAATAACACGATCCACTTTCGCCTGCTCAACGCGGACCGTTCACTCACTAAAAGGGAATTTGCCGAACATTTCGGCCTACCCTTGCTTGATGAAACAGTCGCGTATAGTACACCGGTGGCCCAGGAACTATGGAGAAGAATGACCGGGTCGGTCAAATTTGACACGTCCCACCTCAATGTAAACCACGTCCAACACCCGGTCTTCCGAATTTTTTTTAAATTCTTGGCAAATTGCTTTTTCGGGAGACCAAACAACCATCAAACTAGAGTGTGGGACATATGCCTCTTAGCACAAGCTGTCCTTCCGGGTGCTAGCCCATACGACGTCACCACAATGCTTTGGGACCATATTATCAATGTTAAAAATGGTGGAGGAAAGATTCTGGTGGGGGGGCTGATTACCCACATTGCCACACTCTACGGTTTTCAATGCAATGGGGCACTAAACTACAGGACCGTTCTTGGCCTTAAGTTCCTAAAACACGCTGGGGATGTGACCCTGTCACACATAGTGTGACACCGCACCCGAATGTCCTTGGAGATTTGATTTAGATATTCAAAGTTTATGTATTGGATTTTTTATTCCCGAACAATTTGTAAAACGATTAATGTTCTACGTAGTGCATGGTTGAATATCGTACTGTTCAAACTCGTACACTAGTGTCGGGTTTCGCAAATACTTATTCGGGACTTATTAATAAATAAAAGAGCCCAATAATACGTATGACAAATGTCAAATAAGTGATTGAATGATTAAGGAAGAATACAAATGCCTATAACCCCACCTTGGGCCTTATTGAGCTAAATAATGGGAGTAGGATTTTCCTTCTATAATATTCATCAAGTAAATTATTGGGACGAGCCTACACATATTGGAGATCAATAATGTGATTTAGGAAGTTGACTTGTTCTAAGTAAATTAGGATGAGTACAAAAAGACATTTTTGACAAAGATAAAACAATAGGACCCATCTTCCCATTTTTGGAAGTATTGGTAGATATTTTGGACCCCAAATTTAATGGGATCAATTGGGAACCACTCCACATGATATTAGTACCTGCAAGACAAGGAAAATATGTGAGAAGACTCACCTTGGCCGCACCACATGGAGAAGCACTGCCCATGACACAATTGGAATCAAATTTTGGGGCCACCACCACTGTTTTCGCACAAACAGGTGTGCTGTTTTGTCTCCCTTCATTTTGAGAGTTGTACTCGTCCAAATGAGGTGTATAAGGTGTCCTTGGATATCCTTTGAAGTCTATTTTCATAATTGAGTGGTCTCTGTTCGAGAGGAGTGAGTAATCATCCAAAAATCGATTTGAAGCGAGCAGTGGTCTGTGAATTCGAGCTGTGAGAGTGCTGAGACTGTTTGGTTGATATCTCGAGTTTTACCAATCCAATTAAGGCGTGTGAGATACCAAAAGAAAGCTCTCAAGACGAGGAATCCGTGAAGGTCTGGTTTGCATCAATCGGAGTAGAGGAAGGCTTCCAAATCGTCAGCGAAAAACACAACCTCGCAGAAACGGATTTACTCTTCTAAAGTGAGTTGTTAACCCCAAATCCTTTCCATTCATTTTCCAAATGATATGAACGATTGGTGGGACTAGTGTACACTAATCCAAGTGTATAATATGTCCTTGAAAAGTTATTTTATTGATGTAAAGGTTAGATACTAACCTAAAGCAAATATTGGAAAACTAGGAATCGAGTTAGCCGGAAAACACCCGTTCTAGGGGCTGTTTTCGTATCAACGATTAGGGGTTGAAATAGAAACTTGAGGAAGCTGTTTAACACCCATTTTCAAGCAAGGAACCAGTTCTCAATCTTCCTTGGCCGAGGCTTTGGTCATTGGATCGAGAAGGAAGGTTTTAAAGCTCATTTGAGGTGAGGACCGACATCTAGTTGCTTACAACTTGTAGGTTATGCATGAGATTACCTAAATGCTTGAGTCATGTTTTTGTGAATAAATATGCTTGAACATGATATGAATGATAAGTAATGGACTTGACCATGAATTGAAACCATATTGATGAATATGGAGTCATGTGAGATAAAAGTATGCTAATATGGTAAATTGACCTTCCAACTCATGTATGAATGTTATGTGTATGTAAATGTATAATTTCATGATGATGCTTAGCACATGGGAGGCTGCCACATATCTATTGATATGGAGGGGCTACCATTTATGATAAATGAGTTGTAGGAATAATCTTAATAGTATTGTGATGCTAGTTAAGGATTGTTCAAAATGTTGATAGAATCAAACTTAAGGTTTGAGTTGTTTGTGATGAACTTGAATAAGATTCAAGTGTCAAGTGTGATTGTATGAAGTAGGAGATCTATGGTGTGATTATATGAAGTAGGAGATCTATGGTGTGATTATATGAAGTAGGAGATCTATGGTGTGATTATATGAAGTAGGAGATCTATGGTGGGATTGTATGAAGTAGGAGATCTATGGGGTGAATACATGAAGTAGGAGATCTATGATATGATTATATGAAGTAGGAGATCTATGATGCGAGTGCATGATGATGTACTCGAGCCTAACTCTAGAAATGAGAAGTTATATTAGGGTTGGACCCTATGTATTGTCGTGACTATTAGTCACGGGGTTTGGGAAATGTTTTATAACAAACACGGGCCTTTGAGCCGACTACTTGACTTTATATAAAGTAAGTATGTATTTTGAAAGGGGTAATCTGGGATTACGGCCTATACTATATTATCACCCTATTTGAGGGTCTTGTGTGTGAAATACTTGTTGTATATCTATTAGATGCCTGCCACACCAGCACTTTATAGCCCTATAGAGTGCTGACCCCTTCGGGGGCGTCCCACCACCATTTTTCAGGTTGAGGCTAGAGCTTGCTTCCTGTGCTCGTTGCTCGAGAGATCATATAGGAGGGAAGACTTGGTTCGTGCTTCCTCCATTCTGTTTTTAAACCTTTCTAAACATGCTCATGGATATTTTACTATGGAGCCTGCGTGCTCATGAAATGCCTTGTGTGGCCCTTTTGTTTTAAACAATGTTTCCGCTGCGTTATGAATTACTTATTATGTTTGTTTATGGATGTATATGTGTGAATGATATTCAAGACGCCTTGTATAATATGAATGTGTTGGACTGCGGTTGACTATTCGTATTGTACGGCGGGTTGTTGACGTGTCCGGATAGGTCCGGGGCGTGACACATAGAGGGTGATGGCCTGGAGATTTATAATTGGCACATCAAACCCGGCCAAGAACTGTATTTCCCCTTCCCTTCCGAAAACCTCCCTCTTGACATCATCGATCACCAAATCGGTGATGGACGTCATTATTGCTTGCCCGGGGGAATCCCACCTCAGTATGAACCCCAAAACAATGAACCAGGAAACCCTGAAGACAACCCCGCAAACGAACATATTGCCATTGAACCACCACTCATCCCTGAACAACCACAACCACAACCTCATGCTCATCAATATTCACCATTTGAGCAAGAAATGCTAAACAGCATGAATACTCTCAACCTTAACTACACTCAACTCCGGAATGAGTTCGGGTTATTTAGAAATGAGCAGCAGCAGAGTTTTCAAAGAATTGAAGAACAAAGGCGGGAGGATTGGCATAGGCATGAAGAGGACCAACGGAGAACCTTTGGTCCAATATACTCTTATGTGGCACACCAGGGGTCTTTTGCGACTATGAGCAACCCCCCTCCCGCACCCTCATGGTATAACCCCACTGAATGGGGTTATTTCGGCGGTTCAAGCTCTAGTGGAGGGGGCGGAGATGACGGGCACCAAGATGATCACATGGATGAAGATGCTCACCTCACCGGTTACCACGGCTATAGAGGGTCCTATGATGGAGGAGATACGGGCGGGCACTAGGGACAGTGCCTAATCCTAAGTGTGGGGGTATTGAGAACTATTCCGGTATGCACCCATTTCATGCTCTTCATTATTTTCAATAAAAAAAAATTGAAAAAAAAAAAAAATAAAAAATAAAAAAAATAAATTAAGCTTGTTATGTTGAAAACCCAAAAGGGCAACTTAAGCAAAATAAGAGCAAAAAGAAGAGTGAGTTGGTGAGAACAAAAAGGAAAATGTGGGAAGCTGGGTTGAAAACCCGAAAGGGCACCTAGACAAAATGAGAGAATGAGAGAAAGTATTTCTTTTGATTTTGCAGGATCCTGAGGGTGATTACTATACAGAGTTCATCGGATGAGGAAGCTGAAATTGAAGACCCACTTTTACTCTTTTGGTTTTGGAAACACTTTATGTTATTTGTTTTGAACGCTTATGGTTTTTTGTGTTGCTACTCTTGCCATTAAAGGACTTCTAGAACAGAACTCATTTTACTCGAGACGAGTAAAAGTGCAAGTGTGGGGGTGTTTGATATGCACTAGTTTATAGTGCATAAGTGTATGTTTTTATATCGATCTTGTGTAGACTTTCCATCCCTTTTAGTTAGTTTGTAAGTATTTGTTTTATTTTAGTTGTAATTGTTTTTACCTTCTATTTCTAGCTATAGAATAGTGATAGAGTTTTTAGCAAGAAGAAGGGAAGAAAAGTTGAAGACAAAAACTCTCAGAAACACAAACCCGGTCGGGTCCCTTACCTGACCCGGCCGGGTCAGATTTGACCCGGAGCACCAGAACATGCTGCAGATTTGGAAACGATCTGATTTTGGTCAAACCCGGTCGGGTTCCTTACTTGACCCGGTCGGGTCTGACTTGACCCGGACAAGTTAACGTGCAGAAAACAAGAAATCGTGGGAGATAATCTGATTTTGACCGATACCCGGTCGGGTATGTACCTATACCCGGTCGGGTACCCGGCCAAAGGTGTTGAAAAACACCTATAAATAGCACACTTTTTCTTCACAAAAAATCATCCCTTCTTCCATACTCTTAAGCTCAGTTTAGAATAGTTATTTCTTATATTTTTATAGCATGTTTAGTCTCCAAATGAGGAGCTAAACTTCCATTTCTTGGTTTTGCTCTTGAAGCTTGTTGATTATTAAAGTTGTGAGTTATTTTCTTACTTTCTCCTCTTGATTATTAATTCTTCCCTTAATCTCATTCTATATTGATGTTGGAGGGTGGCTAAGTGACGATTAGTTAACGTTCCAACATTGATTATTACTAGAAACAATCAACGAACCGATGGTTAAACGTTGATGGTTTCACAAGTAAGTAACTTCGGTTTATTAATGCACGGTCGTGGTTAATAAACTTAAGAGGGATTAATTTTGTTGGTTAAACTGAAACCGTTGCGTTGAGGTTATCAATCTCAATTGATTTCATCTAGGAGTTAAAGAGGTTAAATGCTACTATTATATCGGTATACGACGTTGTTCTATATTTGATTAATAGTAAGGGTTATTAATGAACGGTCGTTGTTAATAACTACCCTCGATGAATTGGATATACTCTTTGATTGAGTATTCGAGAGGGGATAAGTTATAGATATAACAATGATCGACTAAAATATATCAACAAGTGGAAAGTAGCAAGACCAAGTCCCTTTTATTCTTGAATTTAATCCCATATAACTCGTTCATCTTCGTGTTTAATTTAATTAAACCACTCAACAATCAAAACCCCCCTTTATTTACTATTTATATAAAAAGAAAGTTATTCCTTTCCCTGTGGATACGAACTCTACTTCACCTATACTACGTATAAGTGTTAGTATCGATTTATTTTGAGTGCACTCACGACAAAGTGCACGTCAGGTATACAATTAAATTAAAGCACAATTCATTGACTGTATATCTCTCTGCATGAGTGCATCTGAACCCTCATTATCACTTTTCTCATTAATGTATATATTCTAGAAAACTATGATAATTTTTCATACAAGAATATCCTCACAAAGCTGCGCATAAAACTAATCTAAATCTGGCACAATTAGAGTGAATCCTTGAGTGTTTACGTGACGGTTTGGCCTGCAAACTGCAAAGTGAGCGAGATTTGTTTATTATGGTAATGTTTACTCTTTATACAACTCTCATAGACCTCAAAGTTCATCAGCTCATCTTCAATATTCAAATTTACTCTGATAACACCATATTCAATGTGTGTAGTGCTCTCTATCACCATTAACTAGGTGTAGCATATGATGGTGTCTCAAAGGGTAGGATTGAAAATGTTATTTCAGTGCATCCTTAGTTATACTCACACCAATGTAAGTACATTCATGCTCATGTTCATCCTGGGTTGTCTGACACATTCACTCTGAGGCTTACTTTGCACGATCTTTAAAATATTCACACACATCGGATATTATTATTTGAAGTGTATCTATGAAGATTCTCATAATATAAAAAATTGCATCCTCCAATTAGTTCTTCACCCTTTGGCGGTAAGGAGGTTGGATTTGGAAAACATTTGTGCCTCTTAACCATTTTAAGGATGAAGATTCAAATGCGGCGTTTCAATAATGATAATCATTTAGAAGTGCGACAGGCGACAAGGCAAAACTTTATCTTACGTGGTCCTCCACAGAGGAAACAAACGTTATTGATGGGTCAGGAGTATGATACATATGCATGAGGTAAGGAAGGCACATGAGGAGTTAGATTTAGATTAATAGACATACTAAGGAATAGATCCTCGATTTTCCTCAAGTTGTGGTGATGATTGAGATTGAAATTTTGTGGGGTTTGAACGTAAAGGTAAAAATTTGATCATTTTGGGGTGAAGAGGGCAACACTGGAGACAGGGAGGATAAGACATGTATGGTAAAAATATTTGATAAATTTGATGGTAAGGTTCAAAATATTAAGAATTAAAGCTCTCCTCTTGTGAAAAACATCTCAATAAACTCTTGTAGTCAGTGAAAGATGCTCACTAGTTGCCTATTAGAACGATTAAAACCAAGAAAAAGAAAACCACCAATATTAACAACAAAACGGAAAAAAGTGAAAAAATAAAATACCAAACAAAAAAGTAGAAATGCCTCACCGACATTGTACGCGGAAGTGGCGTCAAAAACCGATGTGTGCTTTTACGGACTATCTCTACTAGGTAGTGACATGTCAATTATATCAAGTTGAGGTACAAGATTTTTGCATAAACAATATGTAGTATTAAGAGTTTATAATAAATAAAGTTAGAAGATCATTTAACCAAATTACTATAGCCTTGGTAAGTCATCGCAAGATGGGATACCTTCTAGGGTGTGTTCACAATTGTAAAACTACAAAATAAAGTATATTCAGAAAAATTAAATATTTAATTGCGCACTTCTATATGTACTTGTTATAAATTAATACTATTATTGACCGACATATTATATCCTGAAAACTAATAAACTAGTTACATTAAGAACTTCTCCATTAGACTGTACCTGATGTGGTATTAAATTCGACTAGAGAGGCAATTGTTCGTTGTGTTTTTTCATATACTAGTGGTCAATGTTCTAAAAGGCACTAGGCATTAGTCGAGCGTCAGCCCAATGCCTAGCGCCTAGGCGGCCGCCTAGTCGGAGACTAGTCGGAGACAAGAAATTGCATTTTTATCCATATTTTTACATAAATACAATAAGTAATATTGTATTTGTATGTGTATAAAATACATATATACATATATATTTATATTTACAAACATAAATGATAGAGTTATCACATTTAATCATACGTAGTATATGATAACTAATCACTTAACTTCATTATGTTATAAATATAAATAATGATGGAATTTAGGTATGTATATATATATATATATATATATATATATATATATATATATATATATATTTAGGATCACGTACAAACTAATCCTAATTTACAAAGTGGAAACTAATCATAGCCATCCATAAGAATGAATTAACGGTGTAGATGATAAAAACTAATCCAATAATTGCATGGTCCGCATTTAATGAAGAGAGGATTAAAAACGGAAGCACTGATATGACATGATACAGTGGTTTAAACAAATCCCACCCTTGATTTTATAATATTGAACGGATGAGATGATTTTTCATTTTGTATGGGAAGCATACTTTGTATTTGATCTTAACCCTATATATATATATATAATTTGGTTCAAATAAAAAGTACTTCCTAGGTGAAAAATAAGAACTAATATTGGCCATTGATGTGAAAAAATGGATGGAAGAGATCAATTTTTAAGTTGGAAACGCGGTGACATTTTTGTAATTATGGAGAACTTTTATTGAAAATTTTGTGACAAATGTGCATCAGAATAGCCAAAAAGTGCACATGTAAAGCACAAAAGTGCAATACGGTACAAAATAAAAAGTGCACAAGCTCGAAAGTTTTGACAATCTTTTTTGACATGCATGAGTGCACTTTTAATCAGTAATTATCCACTTTATAGTATAAACGTTTGCACATTTTTTGAAATCATCTCTTGTGTTTAAAGCTAATCTAATCCATCCATTTTCAAGTGATAGAAGGCCGAGATTTGTTCTCACTTTTCATGGGAAGACTACTTTTTACTTGAACCCACCCCTATATATATATATATATATATGGATTTAGGTTCATGTGAGAACTTAATCTTAGGAGAAGAAAAAAGAATACATCTACACCATTGGATCTAAGTCAAATTGAAATCCTTGTTCGATGTTGCTTGAACCATAAATTGGGGCTTTCTAGTAATTATCAATGCTTCCTTTTTTAAACAAAAAACTTTTCATTTATAACCTTTTCCTACCATTCCGCTTTTCATTTAATTGTAGTTCTTCATTTGTACGTTTTCCATTATCTATTAAAATTCTTTTCATTAGTTTTCAAAATTTAATTAAAGGATCATTTTTATTGCTTTCAAATCTATCATCAAAAGTTGAATTTTATGAATCATTTTTATTATCTTATAGCATATCTGAAAGTTTTCTTTCAGTATTCTTTTCTTAGAGATTAACCTAACTTCATTTTACTCCTGCATACCATATTTCTTTGTTTTTGTTGAGGATAATGCAATTTTATTATATTTTATTTTAGTATTATATACTACATTTCATGTATTCATTTTTTATTTGCCTTCTATTTTGTTCAATAATTCTTGTGCCCTCTTTTTGTGTCCTCTTTTTTACTTCATGAAAAATTTATTGCATCTTTGTTTTATCACCGTTCACATCGTTCAATGAGCATTTGTATATAAAAATTATGTTAGAATGCAACATTTACATATCAACATGCACCAATTCAATGTATCATATATTTTTACAAATGCACTTATGTTAAGTAGCAATTGCACTTACTCACTAAACAAATGCTCGAAATATAGCAAGTGCAATAGTCACAAACTAAAAGTGCATTGCACACATTTTCAATAACAATGCACTTCTAATAGAGTGCATGCAAAATAACACAATTACTATTATCATGTCTATACAAATTACTACTTAAAGTGCATTAAAATTGTTGAATCAAAACATGAAAGTACATATGGAATTAATATAGTGCGTAACACTCTTAGTGGAGCACACGGGGCATATATAAATTCAATTATTTCAAGGGAAAAAACTATTAAAAGTGCAAAGGATGACTTTAGGCGTGCAATTTGAATGGTAAAATATTGAATTTCAAATAAACTATGTAACATATGTGTAAAGATGCACTTTAAATATATATTATGTGCATGTTTATAGCATTTAATGTTTTAAATGCATTGTGCACTTTTGCCATAACTCTTATGCACAATATATATAAATATCCTATCAACTTTTCAAAAGGTAGGTACATATGAGTTGTGCTCATGATTAATATATTCATAAATGGAAATAATTGATATGCGAAAGTTTAGGATATTAATACACTAGTCTTAATTAACCCTCTAATCCGTAAGCTTTTTTTACATTTTTGTCCTTTCTTTTACTAATTTGTCACGTTGCATTTAGTTAGTTATCAATGTTCCACATATTTACTTATTATGCCACCGTTACTTTTGCAATATACATGCCGTTAGATCAACATTCTTAATGGTCTAGATTTGTTCTTTTTTCCTCTCCTAAGAGGGTGTTCTCATAGGAACTAACCCCTATATGTATATATATATATATATAAGCATATATAGTTTTATCTTAAATTACAACTTCGTTTCTTTATATCCATGACTAAAGCTAAAGTACGTATATCGCTTAGCTTAGAAAATTAAAATTTAAAAGTAAAGTAATATTTGGCGAATCTAGACAGCATAGGCGGACGATTAGGCGCTCTTGGAAGGCAACTAGGCGCCATAAGCGGATGACTAATTCACCCAGGTGGCAAATCAATTAGTCGGAGCGCCTAGATGAAAATCGGGACGCCCGGCCACCGCCTAGCTCCTAGGCGGGGACTAGTCGGACGCCTAGAACGATTTTTAGAACAGAGCTAGTGGTACATTATTTTGGTAACAAAGTTGGCAGTGTATACAAACATACTATTTACAGGACTATCTGCAAGTAGCTAAAATTACAAGACTAGTAATGGATATAAACATAAGTTACAAAACTAAATATGTAAATCTTTTTGCCAATTTAGAGTAAGTAAGAATTCCCCGATTGGGAAGGTCTACCCTCATCCTCAGAACCAGCTGTTATGCACTCTATATCATCCTCAAAGCCTTCAAGTGAAGGGTGAGGTGAGTGGCCTATTCCAAAAGATTTGATGTGATCTTTGAGAGATCTCTTATGCTTGAAGTCTGAACCACATACACAAAACCAGAGTTTCCCGCAATTCTTTTCATGCGTCCTCCAATCCCCTTTCACTGCAAACATTTTTCCGCATTTTCTGCATGAGAAGGGCTTTGAGCCATGCTTCCTTTTGTAATGTGTCTGGAGGGTTTTGAAATCCTTCAATGGCTTAGCTCTTGGGTGGTTAATATTATTCTTGCACCCTTCTTCACAACAATAACATGGCATCCTTAGCATTGCTGCTGGTTGAGAGCCTCTCAATGATTCCGGACCCTTTCTGAATTCTGAACCATGTGCCCACATATGCATCTAGACCATAATTAAAGGGGAAAACATGTTAATTTACTATAGTACGTGAATAAAAAAGATCAAAAGTACTCATTCTGTACCTTATTATAACTAGATAAAACTTGATTAACATCTAGAATAATAAAATAAAAAAGTATGTGGTTGAGATTTGTGTAAAGGAGGTAAAATTAGTCCAGGGCATAAATTCATTATTTAAAAGGGAAAGTGGTTAAGATTTTAGAACAATCAAAATATGAAAGCTGGAATGTTAAAGGGATAACAGGAGTACTTAACATATTTTCCATTTTGAAATAGGTGAGCTAACATACTGGGTGTTTTGAATGAGCATGACACATGAGGATTAAGTTATACCAAAAGAACTATCGTTAAAATTAAAAATAAAGCCCAAATCAAATGGCATCAAGGACTTGGGCCCTAGCTAATAATCCCAATCAAAATACTCAATCAACAGGCATATGCATGGAGACATCCACAAAAAGAAACAAATTGCATGCAATGAATATATCACACAAACAATATTGGCCAAATCAGCGTTGATAGTTGATATTGTGAAATAGAGTGGAAGTAAAAACCAAGTACTATAAATTTTTAAAAATACACTTAGATATAAATACACTAAAAAGTTCAATAATTAATGATTAAAATATAAAAAGTCCACTATTACATATGTTTAGTTGACTAAAAGATACTTGAATGCAAATGAAATACGATTTGTGTATTAATATGTAGATATTTAACGGAACCAGTTATGTTTTTGAGTGGGTGTCCTAGGATTTGTGTGTAATGTATATCAGTGTATTTATAATCGTGAGTGTATATGTACGTATATTCATGCGTGTGTTGATGAATACTCTAATATTAATTTTTTTATTTTTAAATCTTATGTAAGACTCCTTTTAAGATTTATCATGTGTTCTCTCATTTTTAAGAGAAAATACATCATAAATAAATATAAGTCTGAAATAAGTTCAAAAGTATACAGATTTATGTCAAATTAATAAAAGAGACAAACTAAATAACAAGAAGAAACTATTGTAGAGGCACAAGAAAAGAATGAAACTCAAAAGATAAGAGAAACAAAACCAACACTTGGACAACTCATTATTTAATTTCTCTTAATAGAGTATCCTACTCCCTCCGTCCCTAAATGTTGTTCCAGTTGCGGATTACGAAGGTTGACCGACGATAAAGTTAAATGATCCCTGTGAAAACTCGGATTATTTTTAGTAAATAAAATTTACATATTTAGAAACTACATTAAACCCGCTACAAAGTCTACAAAAAATAAATCAACTTTTATAAAATTTTGATATAAAAAGTAAGAGTTTAAGAGTGATTTAAGTTGACCCTCGATAAGCTAAATGGAACTTCTTTTAGGGACAGAGGGAGTATTTTATAAGACACACTTTCCCAAAAGAGTTGTCCCAAAAATCCACGCAAAAAAAAGAGTTGTCTAAAAAATATGAGCAATTTTCCTAAACTAAAATGAACTAACTTTTTCTTTCTGATTTTAGTACTTGATCTATCATTTCGTCCTTTACTTTTTTTTTATGTCTAACTTACTTTTCTTACTTTTGAAGGTTCAAATTGTATAAAATCAGTCACTTCTATTATTTATTTTCACAAATCATGCACTAAACCAACATATACATTATAGGAGGGAGGAAGTGTTTTAATTGAGAAAATAATGTGAGAGAATTTGTGACCTTACGAGAACCTTATTATTTTAAAGTTATCCAACTAGTATATGTAACTATTCTGTCAAATTTGCGAATCAATAGCTTTTAGAGAATGAGATTGAAATATTTTCAACTTAATGTTCTAAAGTGAAATAGCATAACCTTTTCTATCGCGCTATTGAGTAAATGAGTAATTGAGTATGAATCAGAATGACATCACCTCAAGCTTAGTCGTGCATACAAGTAATGTGAATGACCAAACTCTTGAATCATTGTTGGAAATCAGGACTCATATAGTCTCGAATTGAGTACAAAAAATATTACTTCGTCTACATTCTTATGATCTTCTTACATGTAATAAGTGTTGGAAAAATGTGTGAAAAATTGCATTAAATGGCTATTTTGGGGCAATTTTTTGAGTGGGGTCCACTTCCGATTTGGGTCGGGTCAAAGTGGTTTCGGATTGTCCTTGTTAAGGGCTACAATTCGATATATGGTACGCTCAAAACGGATAACGGGTGAATGAGAAATCGCTTTTCGAAGTACAGTTTACCCGTTAGAATGGAAAAACTGGGAAAAAGGATGGGTTTCTAGTGTGTTAATTTCCCACACCGGAAAACCCAAGGGATTTGCAACCCTTTATAAAGGGACTCTCCCCTTAAGGAGTTAAGATTCCTAAGGGTAAAGGCTCTCTCCACGCGCGCAGGGGGGGAGGGTGCAAATCAAATCCCGAATTCGGAGAAGAAAAACCGCGACTTGCGTGCGCGGGCGACCTGCGGACACGAATGTCGTCCAAAAATCTATCTCTCAAGAGATACGTGTAATTTTTGTTTTCTTGACTGCGCATCAGAACTGCTCCAGTTCTGGAGCAGTTCTGATGGCCTTCGGGCAGAACTACGTAGGGGTCTTCTGATGGCTTCTGAAACGTTACAGCAATAAATGCCCAACGTTTATATCTTTTAATGCAGTGTTAAATGGACAATTCAATGCCCAACGAACTGGTCATTGATGTCCAACGTTCTGGTCCATTAATTCACTATTTTCATACAACAAATCCTCCTATATAAGGGCTGACAGGTGGTTTGCAACAACACAGGTTCTTACACGAATCCATACACGTTTTAGCTCTAAAAACACACTGCTAGCATTCTGAAAAATCCTCTGTGTTCATACTGTGTTCTCGTTCGCTGGAACTTTTGTTTGTGTGCTCAAACATTAGTTCGTAGTCATCGTATCCTGGGAAACGATTGTTGCAACGCTCCTAGCACCGTGGGAGGCAACAAATACGTTTTAAGGACATCGTGCGTAGCACGAGCTTTGACTAATTCTGCTTCATCTCCTTTCTTGTTTTTCTCTAGTCATTTTATTTGATTAATTTATTTAATTAATTTTCTTTATTTTCCGAAACACACCCAACAATCTTAAAACGTATTTGTTTGCTTAAGCTTGTACCATACGGGTACAATCTTAAAACGTATTTGGTTGCTAAGCTTGTATCATACGGATACAATCTTAAAACGTATTTGCGGATTGTTATACTGTGGTATACAATCTTAAACTGTAGTTTGTCACTTTGGTGAACGAACTTGTTTTTTGGGTTTTCGGAAAAAACGTTAAGAAAACGAAAATGACTTCTCAAGAAAATGAGATTGGTGTTGGGCAGAATGTTCTGAACGACAATCACTCTGAAAGCGGAGCACCGGTGAACAATAGTTCACAACGCGGTGCATCTGCTTTGGCCAACCAAAGGGCTATCCCTATGGTGACCGTGCCAAGCAACTCTGTGGAGAAACCCGAGAAATTCAACGGGTTAAACTTCAAGAGGTGGCAGCAAAAGATGCTCTTCTATCTCACTACTCTCGGTCTTGCACGTTTCTTGACCGAGGACGCGCCGGTTGTAACCGGGAGTGAGGTGGATGTGCAATCTCTCAATGCGGTTGAGGCATGGAAGCATTCTGACTTCCTTTGCCGAAACTATGTGTTGAACGGGCTGCATGATGCTTTGTACGACGTGTATAGCAAATTAGCTACGGCTAAGGAGCTATGGAATGCTTTGGACCACAAGTATAAAAGCGAGGATGCCGGCGCAAAGAAATTTGTTGTTGGTCGATTCCTTGATTTTAAAATGGTGGATTCGAAGACGGTCTTGAGTCAAGTTGAGGAGATGCAAATGATCTTCAAGAAATTCGAGATGAAGGAATGACGGTTAGCGAGTCTTTCCAAGTGGCGTCAATTATACATTTGTTGCCGCCGGCTTGGAAGGATTTCAAAAACTACCTTAAGCATAAGCGAAAGGAAATGAACTTGGAACAATTGATCCTCCGTCTGCGGATTGAAGAGGATAACCGGAAGAACGATGGGAAACTCCCAATTGTTCATGGCGCCAAGGCCAACGTGGTGGAGCATGCAAAAAGCTCCAAAAATAAAAATAATGGGAAGAGCAAGCTCGGTCCCAAGGGAGGCGTTTCCAAGACAAAGTTCAATGGAAAATGCTTCAATTGCAATAAAAATGGACACAAGTCCTCGGATTGCAAGGCACCAAAGAGGAAGAAAGATTCTCACGTCAACTTGGTGCAAGGTGGGCAAAAGGATGAAGACATCATCCTAGCGGCCGTGGTGACGGAAGTCAACCTCGTTGGATCCAATTCCAAGGAGTGGTTCGTGGACACCGGTGCAACCCGGCACATATGCTCAAACTGGGAGTTATTCACTACTTTTGAGCCATCAAATGGTGAGAAAGTGTGGATGGGAAACTCAGCCCATTCCGAGGTGGAAGGCGTGGGCAAGGTGGTCCTAAAGATGACTTCGGGCAAGGAGCTGACTCTAAACCAAGTGCTGTTCGTTCCGGAGATACGCAAAAACCTGATTTCCGGTTCGTTGTTGAACAAGCATGGATTCCGCATGGTTTTTGAGTCGGACAAATTAGTTTTGTCCAAGTCGGGAATGTATGTGGGCAAGGGGTATGCATGTGATGGGCTGTTTAAGCTCAATGTAATGACTATTATTAAAAATAATAATAAAGTCTCTTCTGCTTACTTGCTTGAGTCTTCCAATGTGTGGCATGGTAGACTAGGACATGTTAATTTTAATTCTATATGTAGATTAATTAACATGGAACACATTCCTAAATTCACAATTGATGTGAAGCACAATAGTGATATTTGTGTTGAGGCAAAACTAACGAAAACGTCTTTCATAGTGACGTTTGTGATTTCAAATCAATACAAACACGTGGCGGTAATAAATATTTTATTACCTTTATCGATGATAGCACTCGCTATAGCTATGTTTATTTGTTGAAAAATAAACACGAAGCAATCG